AGTATTTCCTTCCTAACATTTTATTTCTCAGTTCCTTGAAATTTAGGATTTTTTTCAAATGCTGTTTAATATTGAGCTCTTATTAAATTGACATTATGATAACTGTAATTTTATTTATATATTAAAATGAATGAAAAAAAAATAAAATCATGGAAAAAGGTAAAGTTATCAGATAGGAATGACTAATAACAGATTTCTTGGTGCCTAAGTACATGTGGAGCCATATGTGTGTAAAGAGAATTGATAAACTGAAATTACAGTATTTCATATATATTGTTTATTCAGTCATTGTATCTATGCTGTTATATATTACTATTAGACATCAAGTAATTGCTTTCTATTCATGTGGTCATGTACAGTTGATGTAATTTTTTTTAAAGCACCAAACCTTTGATCAGACCTCACTCATTTACTGGTTTCACATGAACTGAAAATTTTGGTTTATTCACCTATTAAACTTGTTATATAGCCAATGGATTTAATTTTTTTTCTGAGAAAAGTCCAGTCGATCCAGTGGTAATATTACAGGTCACATATCACATTTAAAATATCATTTATAAATAGTTCAACATACAGCTAGCCATGTCTGCATTCTTTAACACATAAATAACATTTGCAAAGGCTTGAACACTTGTAGTATAAGATATTGTCAGAATGATATTTTTATACAGTATCACACCTTATATACATTGCAGGCCTTGCTGTCTTATGTAGAAATTATCTTTGATTTACACAAAATAGTCAAAAGAGGGTGGAAAAGGAATAAAGGAGCAACTTATATAATTTTTCATACACTTTTAGAATGCTGTTACAATTTGCTAGCCCAACTGCTTGTCCCAGGGCATCAGGCTACTGATTTTGTGACCTCCACATACCACATATATTTCCGTATTTTATTGATAATATGTTCCCTTTTGTACATCAAAGCAAAAAATGGTCTTAACAAAGGTTTTTAGAATACAAAGCCAATGCAGGGAATTTAAAGATATCAAAACCATATAGATTTTTTCTTCTTCCACTTAGCATAGGAAATGTAAAATCCAATTTGTTTTTTTTTTATGTAATTATAGAAATTGCATGTAACCAATGTTTTTTTCTCTGCTTTTTATTTCAGATGCTTCCAGTCAGCAAACCCTGAACAAAGGAAGCATATTCAGACCTTAATTGATTTTGGTCTGTTTTCCTTCGCAATGTAATGTTACAAACTTTGTTGTATTACTGCGGAAAAAAATCCATAAGATATGACCATTCCAAAGTGTAAGGAAACAAAATATATTTCGAATAAAAATCTTTTCATAATCATGGTGACATTTTTTGTGAATCCATATTTGAAGAGTGATCATGGAAATCCTTCCATTTTCTTGCACTCTCTGCACGAGTACCATAATAGCGATGTAGATACTGTGCCTTCATCACCTATAATAAAATTTTGCAGATTAAACATTCATTCATAATTCATTTCTAACCAGGCAATGCAATATCTTCTCTTCTTCCTCAACAGTTCTTTCCAACAATGCGAGTCCACTGTCCACCTGGTTTAAATCCAGTTATACAAACTAATCAATAATCTCTCTTCCTCACACATTCTTTTGTCCTTGTTGTCACAGAATTGCTTATATCTTTTCTTTCCAGCACATATAAAGCTCCTTCTCAAGTACTGGTCTCTACACTTAGAAATACCAAGCTTTGTCTTCTGCTGGGCCGTTTGTCACAGGGAATCTGTAACACTATTAATGCTGAATGGGGTATTTTTACTAGCCTCTCACAATCCCCTTAAAATCCACGCTTGATTTTGTCTTAATAAATATATATCTGTGCATGTCAGTTACAATATATATAAGTATCAATATTAACAAATATATAACCAAGATATCATTGTTACAATCACATGAAATATGACGTGTAAGGTGCCCTATGACTTGTCAACCTGTTTGTCTATGTGGAACTATAGAATACTTATTTTTTATTCCCTGTGACACCTTTCATTAACTATTTGTTGCCTTTTTAAATAATAGTTCTTGGTCACTTCGCACAGAATTTAGGATCAGCATTTCTATATATAACCTATTGCTAACTCTTAACACTAATTAGGTGTGGATTTGTTTACTTCGGTGACATGGCAGGCTCATGCTACTTCATTCCTACTACCAGAGGAAAGTCCAGGAAGGAAACACTTGATACTCATAAGTGAAACAAAAAACTTAAATAATTCTGCTTATAAAAGAGATGAGAGAAAATGACCCTTACATTAGCAAATTGTATGTTGCATATGGATTCTCTTGGACATTCATGCTTATTCATGAACTGTAATTTTAGTGCTACTGAAAAGTAAGAACTTGAAGCTCATGAAGCACCAGTTCTCTCGAAAATGGTTCTGTAGAATATCAGCATTAATTTGACGTCATATTCAGAGGTTATTAGGTAGGAAAATATGTTATTCCTTAGGAAATAACTAATCCACTTTGAGACAAAGTAATGCCAAGAACTTTCAAGCAGCTAA